AGACTGTCTTTTATGCACATTGATGAGAAAGCAAGGATGCTCTAAAGAGCTATGTGAGAAAAGAATAGGCATCATCTTTCAGGTCCTGTAAATGTAGAAAGATAAAATGACGATCTGAAAGAACATGACATTCCAAAAACTTAATTGCTGTTTTAGTTCTCTAGGCTATTATGCACCCTGGCCTGTAATTATCTTAAAAGAACAATGGTGTATTTTTCCCTTATAGCTTATTGATGGTTGCATGGTTTGACTAGCTCCCATATTGTGTGTATCACAGACTGTATGAAGGACATCCTGTTAAATGACTTCCTCAGTGTAAACACTTCAAACTGGTGTGTCTGGACTGTCAGTTAACACAGAAGGTACTGGTTTGACATCAGGCAGTCTTTGTAAGGGTCTTAAAAGCATAGTGGCTCCAAATGAAATTGTTGCTTTAGAACCAAGTCAAAAGTGGCACCAATACAGAATTATGTCAGAGTAACCCAAGATGGCAAAGCACACATCTAACCATTTAAAGATAGAGGCATTTAAAACTTGTTATGCGATCTTACCAGGTGCATTTCATCTCCTTCAATCCACTGGGTCCAGCCACGACCTTCTTTTTCTCCCTTCTGTACACAAAGAAGCTTATCACCATCCCAAGATACTGTGGTCTAACAAAATAGACATATTCAGTGTTAATGTTATTATGATTAGTTTCCTTACAGCAAAACTTCTCTCTAACATAATACATGATTAATGTATCACATAAGAATAATAATTGAAGAGTGCTGTAAAATTTAATTAGAGAAGAAATGAGCTTAAATAGAAAGTTGCTGCCTAACTTCTTGTCAAAACCTCAAAGGATGAAATAAAGCTGTCTAAATGCAAGGAAGAAAAAACATGCAGCAGAAGGTATGTGCATTCAGAGATTCTTCTGTTCACTCTTGTAAAAGGATGTATTTAAACCAAGTAGTGGATAACATTTAAAAAAACCCGTATCCTTGTAAAGTAGAAAGTGCTAATGCAGGAATGAGCACCACATTTTGGTAAAGCTGTAGCTAACATGGTCATTGTAGTTTAAATCCTCTTCCATATTTGTTTTGAATCTGTAGACATTCATTTGGAGATAGAAGATAACAAATGCTACTGGTCCAAGTGAAAAATGTTTCATTTATAAGTTAACATATCTAAAAATTTCTGATGGTTCTCAAAGATGAATATATCAGAAAATGAACATTATTTCTGCCGATGACTTGTAGATGGGAGTGATACTGTGGAATGACACATTTGTATGTGCAACTTTGCTTAGGAATCACACTTATTTTTAATTATTGAGTATTAGCTCAGCATAGTATAATCATTAGACTAGCTTTATAGTTAAATGTTGTGGGTTTATATGTGAATTCAATGACAATATACCACAATAAAGTAAGATCCAACTTTATTAGTACTACTAATGTTCAAAATCAGTTGTGGAAATTACTAGCTATTCACCAGGTCAGTACACTTGGGGGCAATTGAGAAATGATTGTAGCAGCACAGGAAAATGTTAACTTTTTCTGCCTCTAAGGGAGATCAAAATTGTTTCATCTCAGAAAACAACACACTTTTTTCTCTGGCTTTCTTGTGGCAATTTGGTCATAATCACAGAGAGTATAATGCCACAGACTGTTAACCAAGTTATTTTATCAGCTATTATTCTCGGTTACCATCCTCTGCCTTCCCTTTTAGAAATATAAGTACCGAAGGGACATAAGTAAACCATACAGTCTCTGATTTTTATATGTGGCTGCTTTGCTAGGAAGTTTATAAAGGACAGAATATAGTGCAGGATAACATAATGCCCTCTTCTTTGTTAGCAGGAACAACCACTTAGTGACAGTTAAGATTAACCAGTAGCATTTTCATCTTCTCTTTCTTTAGGTCAAACTGTAATGTCTCATATAATAAAAGACACAACTAGTATGGAAAATAGAAACCTCTCTTTTAACTCAGATTGAAATAAGTTCTTCCATTCCAGATATATCTCTGTTGAGACACACACTGAATATTAGTTGAGGTTGGAGTTGCTATGTCTGTTTTGTATGGCTCTGGCTGCTGCTAATATCCAAAGCTAAGGTACAGCAATGCTTGCCTTCGAACTTTTCCAGATCTTTGAGTCAGAACATAATATTCCAAAAATACCACTGTAGAGCAAATGTTGGTATATAAACCTCTGGCAAGTAGTCTTCAGGGGAAATTTTCATCAAATGAAGCACTGATGGAATAAACTAATGTTATCACAGACAACATCTAATGCAACTGTAAAGGGGCTTTCTGGAATGTTGTAGTCACTACCTATGACCTTCTGCACACAGCAGTTAGCACACTTTAACTAGAGGGCTACAACCATATTCAGGGTTTGACATCTCTCCATCCTATAACTCTTTTTATTTCATCAAATCGGCATCTAGCAGGTTGGTGACAGATAGATAAAATACTGAGAAAACAACAGCAGACCCGAGAGAAAAATGAGTGCTAAGATTCCTGGACTGTATCTATCTCCATGCTGGATAAAGTGTGCATATATATATATATATATATTTAGCCATCCTGTAGCTAGGTCAAATGATAAAGTCTATATCAAACTTTCCTTCCCTTACTAACTTCAGTTCAACCTGGTAGAAGCACTAACAAATCTAACCTCCCATTTCATCATTCCTGTTGTTAGCAATGCAGCAACACAGCTCCCAAAGTTCACTCATTGGAAATGGTTGGTGGAACAATGCAACTCATTTCTCAGCCGTTTGTGGTGCTTATCTCATAGTAGGTATCCACAGCTACAGGACTCTGAAATGTGTTCATGCCATTTAAAACTTGCTCAGATCATTACTGAAAGACAAGCTGGTTATAACATGGCCATTCTGCACCAGACTGATAAGCTTACTGAAGTTCACAGTAGTCAAAAGAGACAGTTCTAGAAAAAGTATTTTGCTTCTATGATTGTCAGCATCTCCATTGGTAGCAAGGGGGCTTAGGATTGGAATGACATATTTTAGGTCCAAGGGTAAGCTGCTGTCATATAGGATCAGATCATAAATGTTCAAATTCCTTATTTTGAATCCTAGTTCGTAAGAGTGATGAAGGAAAGCAACGAGTAGTGACATTCCAAAGAGTAGGTAAGAAATACACCAAAGCTCCAGGCTATGTAGGTGACAGTATTTGGGAGGAGTAGAATCAGTATTTTGGACTGGGCATCTTTTATTTCTTAGGAATGGTGGATTTTTCTTCCTTACAGAAATTAAATTGTGTACAAATAATACAAAACTAGGAAGACTTGTGTATATCCTATGCCAGAAGAAAAAATACAGAACAGCACATCCAATTTGGTTTGTGCAAGGCTTAGAATCGATTTTAAGACACTGTTTAAGTTAATGCATATAATCAAGTTATCCTCTGTGTAATTTTAACAAGATGCAATTGTACATAACACTAATGGTTTGTCATTCAAAATTGGATTTGGTAAGTTTTCAGCTAATTCTTCCTGATTACACCTTCCGCATTCATAACTCTTTGAGCTTTCTAGGATTCACAAAAAGCTGAAATGCTAAGCCCAACCAAAACCACCAATGCTTCAATAAGTTAGAAGTGGTTTTGTGAATAACTGGCTCAAAACTTCAGTCTCGGGTTTTGGACATTAATCCAACATTGCAAAATTTGCAATTAATGACATCTTAAATTATATAGCAAAAGATTCTAGAGATCTCACTTGATATCACCTCACTAATGTACTGATTGTATCACAAGTAATAAGCAGTAAAGCCAAAAGAATAGGCAGTGTGAAACAAGGCAAGAGGAGACAGCTCCTCTTAACTGAGATGCAGACACTGAATGAAACAGAGTTTCAGAGAGCCTGAGGCAGATCCAAGAGCAGACCTCTGTTCTCTGGAGCCTCAGAGCAGTTAACTGGAGGACTACTCTTTCTAAAAAGTCAGAACCATCAACAGAAAACCACATTAAGACTACCTCCTTAAATTATAACTCTCCAAAAATCAGAGATTATTTCAGTGAGAAGCTGTGGACTGCCGAGAGAGGGGGCACTAGATTTGAGATAAGTCTCACATATACCTACCAGGCATTGACATAAAAACACCTCCCAGCTACAATAATTCTAGAACAGTTGTTTCAACAAAGTATACAAGAAAATTCTTAAAAGCAAAAAAGGACAGCATTTGAAGAGATAAAAAAAACAAAGGAGTTGAATAAGAGGGATCAAGTAAAGGCATCTTGCTCATCTTGCTAGACAGGCATAATATATTTTGAGTCATCTGATCCTGTGGGGGATCCCTACTGAAATTGCAAGATTGGAATTTTGTTTGTTGGTTGTTGTTTTTCTGGCAGCAAAGTCTTCATTCCAATACCTACTCTAAACTAGATTAACAGCTGTGAATTCCATTTGTGGAACAGAGGAAGCTTGTCTAAATAGTTAAATAAGCCTCATCAGCTGTGTGATTTTATAACAGGGCTTTATTCTGACCTTACAGCAGTATAAATCAAATTATATCCAGAGTGAATACACTTCATTGCCTTTTTTCCTGAATTCAAACTAGAGAGCAGTTTCATATTAGGCATGTTTGTTATTTAAAACAGTCATAATCAGTTCCAAACTACTTGCCTCCTTTCGCTAGGATATGGCACATGTAACTAGCACTGGTTTGGGTGACAGAAGGATTGTTCAGGTGCCTACAAGCAATCCTTATGTAGCTGTCTTAAACTTGAAATGACTATATATCTTCAGGAAGATACTTCATATTGTAATATGTATGAGAGATCTGATGAATTCTACAATTCCCAAATCTCCCTTACTCTATCTTACCCCAGGAAATTTTAAGTATGACTAAAAGTTATGTTAGTTCCAATAACAGAACCCTAAACACCCATTTGATAATTTATCCAGGGTTAACTTCTGCTTGCTTTTAAATTTTTGTTAACTAAATTATTAATATGTATGATTTCCCACCTTCAATTTCAAATTCTTGCTGTTTTATACGTTTACCAGTTCCCAGTCACTGTAATTTCCTTTACTTCTTCAAATACAAGAGAATTACTATGCCAAAGACCATAAGGCCCTGAATTACTGAAGTGTCCTTCACTTGCTTAGCCAAATACTCAATTCTTATGCAACTAACAGTGTTTCCAGTTATCCAAGAAATTCTGCTGTTCTATATTTAGAACATAGAATATTCCTTGATTTTTTAAACAGATCACTAGCCCTTAGTCTTTACAAAAATATATTCATTCTGGATATTGTGACCTAAAGCAATTCAGTGTTATTCAAATGCTTGAACAACTGAGAAAAACTATAAAGCAAAAAATTTTCTCTTACTTCAGCAGCAAAATGATTACAAAAATAAAAATTTTGTGGGAGAAATTTTTGCACCTGAGCTATCTCATTCTCAATCTGCTTTGATTCATTGAGTGCAGACTTGGAACATAAAACTTCAGCCTTTGTTTCAGCCTTTAAATTTTCCCAGCTAACTCTTTTAAAAAACTTTTGACTGATGTACTAAGCAAATACACTGTGATGGTACATAGGGCTGGCTTTTCTGTTTAGTGTCATTCTTATGTTTACAGGTACATATTTCACATTGCAGATATTTCCTCAGCTTCAATGTTTATTACTGATGGTGAAAAAGGGAGGGGAAATTATCTAGTGATGAATGAGGCATATTTTCAGAGATGGTTTTCAATTAATTGTTGTTTCAATAAGGTTCTGCCTCCTGTGCCTAGTAAATTTTCTCCACAGTAAAGTTTATGTGCATGAAACAATGTTTTATATTTAGTATAATACCTGAGACACTCACTAAATCAATCACAACTAAAAGTTATAGAATTTATCTTTTAAATCGAGGAAATTTCATTATGAGACTGAAGCTTCATGAGAATGAAGATGGTAGGATCAAATATTTAGTTCAGGAAATACCAAAGTCATAGTTATCCACTTCAAACTTCTGTCTTTGTATAAAGTCCATCTGATATATGATATCAATTACAATGAAGAATAAACTCACAAAAGTCTTAGAAACTTAGTCACATCATGTAAGAAATAATGTACTTCAGTATTAATGTCCTCAACTTCCTTCTACACTATCTAATGTGCATCTTGTAACATTTGCAAAGAATAAAAGATGCTCCTGAATAGATAAACTTTCATTTTACCTTTGTAGATCAAAATGCCAAGTTTTTCACAACCCTAAATATGATATATTATTAAACTTGCTGAAATGTACTTCACAAAATTGTCAAACACATAGAGAAACTTTTATTAAACTTTTATCTAGGAGATAAAACCTCTGGGAAAAAGCTCCAGGAGAAGCACAACAGATTATGGAGGTAGGTGAAAGCGGATGTCTTATCTGCATTTCTTAGGAGACCGGGTGGTGCTGCAGCTTGCTCCATACCTGGTTGCAGTAATGCTTAGAACAAACGTGATTGTCAGCTGGCTTCTTGGAAGCACCTTGCACTGTGACTAGTGATCTCTTCTATGTCCACATATTTGTGTGGCCAACTATTCTAATCTTAGGTTTTACCAAACAGAGGAATTACATCTTTAACTAAACTAGAATGGCTTTTCAGTTTCTTAAGATTCCAAAGTAGCAAATTTTCACTTCTCAATGGAAACAAAATCTTGAAGGACCTGAGACCACCAACTGCCATTACCTATATCCCTTGAGAAAACAGAATCACCTAAAACCATGTTGCGTACATGAAGGTGACAGTTAAAGGTCAAAAAAGGACAAATGGAATGCTAAGATCTATCCAGCTCAATTAACTCACTCCTCCCAAAAGTTCCACGAGTGACCCAATATAAAAATGAAAAAAAACCTAACTGAAATGAAGGAGCATGCCTGTGCTATCACAGGAGTATCAATTCTTAGTGTTAAACCTTTGGCTTATAAAATAAGTATCAGCAAAACTTTTTAGCCTTTACACATCACAGACAGTACCAATCTGGAATTACTAACTCTGCCCTACCTGAATGAAAGACATGTTTTATAACTGAAAGGTGAACACAGTTTCAGTGAATTATGTGAAAATCTAACCTGTTGACTGTGCTAATTTTACTTTTACTGCTATTAACTCTACTTAGATGACATAGTCTGAAGAAAAAATCAAATAAGAAAAAATTATCTACCCCTATTGGATTAATTACTTCTAAGGTTATTTTTGCTAATCTGATGATTGTTCTGCTATAAAGATTAATGTTTAATAAGTAATTTGGCTTATCCATGTTACTTTGTACTTCTCGTACACTGAGCTGCTTGAATAAAACTTGCCTAGTGGTTTGCTCAGTCCACAAAACAAAAATAGTTGATTCAGTATCTCTCTTATTACACAGGCTAACTGCTAAAGATTAAGCCATTTATGGCATGCAGTTTTGTAAGTTACAGATGAGAAAAAGAAACACCAATAAATATATTCAACCTTTGATTTTATGGTGGTTTTCTTCATAAAACCACTCAGGGTGTGGTCCAGTATCTCTTACAGCACCCTCTGTCACAGGACTGAACCACTGCAATGCTTTTGTTGCTTAACACCTGGCAGTTTTGCCTGACATTACAGTTAGCAGATTTGGAAGTGGCCTCAGAAAGGCAGCTTCTTGTATTGTTTTGCCTTTGAGAAAACTGACATCTCATGTAGAAAAGAAATCCTTAATAAGAAAATTGACCTATACAGTATGATACATTGCTACAGGGTAAAGAGAGATCAGTGACCTTGTCTGTACAGCTGCAGTTAGTGTCTGCTGTTGGAGGCCATAAAGAAGCATGGAGGATTTCTCTAAGTTTTAGAGGAGTTATATGCCTAATCATTTTTAATAAACAGTCAGCTTTAGTGAGTACAAAACCCCTTGTTTTGTTTCAGCTGGTTTTTTTTTTTTTTGTGTTTTGGTTTTGGGTTTTGTTTGTTTGTTTTGTTCTATTTGGGCTTTATTTGGTTTTTGTGTTGTTTTTTTTAAAGCCAAGAAGATGGTAGTATCTTCTGCTTCTAAGGCTGAGTAAGAATTTTGCACTAAACAGCCAGCAGTTGAAATGTTTAAGCAACCCTTGAAAACACAGTGATGTAGGTTCCACTCCAAATCAAATAGCTTTTGTAGTGGCTAGAATAATCTTACTTTAATTTCTTCTTTCTGGTTCAACATTTTGAATTCTTCCCCATCACTCAATTTAGCAACATAGGGGAAAGAACTTTGGCCTGTTAAAAATAATGAAATACTTAGGGTATTTGTCAAGAAATTAAAAGTTGTGTGTTAAACCTGTCCAGCATTTCAAAAGCAAGACTAGGCAAGGGTCACCTTTCCATGTTTTCTGAATCTGATTTTTCAGCACAGTGGTTGTCTGACATTTTCTAGGAACGCATTGCAGATACATGCTAGACAGCCTCAGAGCACAATTCTTTCCACCAGATAGGGGATGTTTCAGTCTTTCTTTGGATGAAGTTTACTTAAGGAGACAGTTCTGCACACACAAACCAATACCTCACCAACTCAAACACTGAAGAGTTCAGACATTTTTAGCACTTGAGCAGATGTCTTGAACATGCGGTCTTTGATAGCAATTTAGCCATCTAAGTCCAAGCCTTTCTTTAGGCTCCTAATTGTTTGGTGGATCTGGGCCTCACTATCCTGATAAAGAGACTTCTGGCAGTCAAAAATACATGATGACATTGGGGGACTTTCCTATACACAAATACACAGTGCTTCTCCCTTCTGTGGATTTTGTATTCTGTACTCTGTCATACTTGTTGAGGCACTCACTAGCTAGCCATTCTTTTTTTTTAATATTCACCACCTTTCCCTTTCCTGCTGTCACCAGAGATAAAGCATATTTTCATATCCTAGTGTTAGAGAACACTATTGATTTTAAATAGCACTATCTTTCTAAGAATGGAAACCTATTAATTCTCTTTTATGTGATTTCTCCTCTATAGTGCCTCCTGACATAATATTCTTTTGCATATCAGCTTCTTCACTATAGGATATTGCAGGTATCATGCTTTCAAACTTAGAGGAAAGAAAATGGCATTCTGAAGATTTTCAGCTGTTAATTGGTATTTACCAGTCATAAGTTAGAAAATATTTTTTCTCTGGCAAGCAAAAAGAGCTCATAAGGCTGAATCCTCAGTGTTTGCTTATTGATTGCAGTAAGATTTGCTCCAGTCGGCTAATGTGTCTTCTCTAATAAATACACCCAGAAAGGAAGGAGCACAGGAACAAGAACAAAAAGCTGCAGTTTCTAAGCACTTGGCCATTCTTAAACATGGGGAGCAGTACCTGACCATACAATCAGTGCCTTTCCCTTACTGTAAAGCAATGCTCAGTGAAGAGATTCTGAAAGCCTGAGGTTTTGACTAACATATCACAGTATAACCAAGTAACTTTTATTAAAGCTACAATTCATCCATTGATAAAATTGTTTTGTGCTCCTGATTAAAATTAGCATTCCTTTAATGCAAAGGCAAACTAAAAACTGTGAGCATATCTCAGCAAACTGACAAGTACAGGAATTACTTTAGAAATATCCACACGAAATGGTTAACAGATGTGGCCTGTGAAAGTCCTCTTTCCCCCCCCGTTGTTACAGTTCTAATTCTTACCATGCATTTGCGATCATCTACCCCAGTTAAATCCTCCTCAAACTCCTTTCCTATATCAAATTCCATGATGTAGTTTCTAAAAGTGCTGAGCGTTTTAATGATCATGTGATCCCCATTCTGAAGGATTTCTTTGTCAGGTTTTAGCAAGTTTGCTATTTTTCTTACAGCAACATTTACATCTGAAAAAGAAAAAGAATTACTTTAATTCAGAAAAGTCTACCACAGAAAGAAGCTTGTACCTCCTGGGAGAACTAAAATGAACATAGAAATGTCCAGGTCTTTCAGGCCATATTTCTCATCAGTAAAAAGTCCATAACCTAATCCTTTTCACTTCAATAAATTGATGTTTTCATTTTCTGATTATGTAGAATCCTAAAAAAACACCATTTTTTATTTGACAGTAAATAAGAACTTAAATATTTCTACAGATATACTAGCAATTTACATCAACTGCAACATAGAAAATTGCATTAAGTACATTATTGTCTATTTATTACATTTATGTCTATTCACTCTTATGCAAATTATGGTTGTTTTTAAAGTATGAAATCTGCCATTTTCCTCTTCAAGATATGTAGTTTAATATCTGTTAATTTAAGCTTCATCATGGTAAAAGGTAGGGCTGCTGAAGACAAAACTGTTTTGCATAAGGTAATTCTTTAAGTGCATTCCTGAAAATAATTTCTCACAAAATTTATGACTGTATGATAAAAAAGATTCACATAAATACAGCATTTATTACATTTATTATTTATTAAAGAAAGATGAAGGGAACCTTACCCAGTGCTTTCAGATACTCCTCAAAATTGTCATTGCTGACCATTTTCCAGTAGCCACTGAAATCTGCAGGCATCTCTACTTTAGGTAATTGTCAAAATCAAAGTCTCAGAACAGCGTGTTGACTCTGCACCACACAGCTCACTGCCTTTCTTTGTGGTAAGTCTGAACTGGTTTCTTTTATGTCTTTTTTGAACCATGTAGCTATGCAAGTCCTTCTAAGCCGATTATTGTTGAAGTGTTGCTTTTAAATCCTTCCACAAGGCTGAACCTCTGAGATTTCCAATGACAGATGGATGACTTGATTCAAACAGAATGAAACACTCACCTTCCATGTAACTTCTATAGGGGTCCTGATTATCTGGAGATCCATTTTAACCATATTACTCTCCATTTTTAATGCCATGCAGAAAAAAAACCCTTTTGAATAGCTTTACTTTAGGATATTAGCCAAAGCTATACAAGTGCTTGTCTTGTATGTTTTTTTGAGACAAATCCTTCTTTCTTAATTATGTTTCAGATGCTTTATGTCTTCTGTTCACTGAAAGCAATCTGGGCCTGGCATTAATTTAACATGTACTACAAGCTCCTTAATTCTAGAGAACTACCAGTGGAAGCTGTTTGGCCAACTGAGGGCTCATATAGGACCAGTTAGGTGGAAACGTGCCTTAAGTGGTTAATTTTGTATATTGAAAACTGCCACATCACTACTGAATGTATGTTTTCAGTTGATTTAAGCGACACTACAATACAGAACTAGCACTTTACAGAGATTCTATATTTTTTAAATGTTTCTTATATCAACAATGAGATAGACTGAATCAGTAACATAGGAAACCAACATATAAAATAATGGATTTTTCTGGTTATCATTAGGGCTCAAATATTCAGACAGCCTCTTAGCTATTTTCACTTACTTTCCACTGTGTGTTTTCAAATGGTACAACTGAAGTTCCTCTTGGATACGTAATCTATTCCAGGTCTTGGGCAATTACCTACTTTTATAGAAGACTCTGGATCAGAGAAGCAAAGAAATCCACTTTAAACCTGGAGCTGAGGATTGGCTGTCATTTGTGAATCTGGAGGTTGAAAAGTGACATGAATGGTGTCTGCATTTTAAGTGCCTGCATGAAAGAAAGATTTATTGCCATCTCTTGTCCAAATTACCAAAACACAAAAACTTATTCAGGGTTCTAAAAAGTCAAAAGTTGACCAGCAATATATATTTAAATATATAAATATGAAAACTTACAGTTCATTTTATTTTATTTCTTCGGAACAGTAAGACATCTTCATGCTAAACATGTCTGTTGGATTACAGAATCACAATTCAGGAAAATATGTTTGACCCTTAAGTATTACAGGAGATTAGTATTTATTGTTCAGATATTTTATTTTCACATGGAAGCTCTTTATATTTTCTGCTACACAGCTGAGCATCCCAATCATGAATTTAAAACAACACATGAATTCAAGAAATTCTAGACTGATGTACTTTCCCCTCATTAGCAAGAAACAACTTTCTCAAGAACTTTAAATGAAAAAAAGCTACTTTTGCCCACTTCACACACCACAGACATCAGTCATTTAGTGGGTTAACTGTTGTTTTATGCAACTTCAGGGGCTGGAGCAAGTCACCTTCGTTCTTCCGCTCACTGTCTTTTGTATAGATATTATGGTGTGCAATGTAGGATATAACAGAATCTGGTATGAGGTATTTTACACTCAATCCTCTGCACAAGGCATAACGTATCTGTGTTGCACTGATTTCATTCTGAATCCATTCTTTCACCAGAAAGATATTGTGCTGAAATTTAGTTAAAAGGTCTGATTCACGGATATACTGAGCAGGATCAGAGCCAGCACGGCTAATACAGACCAAACCAAACTTCTCCACTATTTCTTTAATGTCTTCTTCCTTCCAGAGGTTGGGTGTCTTAAATGTCTGTAGAAAATCAGCCCCACAGAGCAGCTTTAACTCTGGTAGAACTGGAAAGACAAAAATGGATGAGAGTTTTCTAGGAACTTCATTCTTAAAATTGGTTTTAAACCAGCACTGTTATTCTTTTTTTTTTTTTATAATGTACCTTTTCCTTAGTATTTTTTCAAAAGGTTGCAAGAAATATTCAGCTTGGATTGTGTGTCTGATCACAATTGAACACCAAGACAATGTTTGTGTACTGTCATGTTAGCCAGAAAACAACCTAGAATTTCACCTGGGTTGCTGGACCTATGTAATCTAAGACGTAAGAGACTGTATCTAATCTAACTGCCCTTACTGGTATAATGAGCAACTTATTTGACCAACTAAGTTTTATTTTAAAGAAATTTGAACCAGCAGAATATGATACAAATAATATTTTGTGTCATGTGGCCATAGCATTTTTCTTCTAGTACTAAGTCAAATTTACTGTACCTTGAAGAATGATCAATGATACTTCCCCAGTAGATTTTTTTCTTCTTCTTTCTCCATTTCTTATTCGCTGCCCTAAGGCCCAGTACAGAACTATTCCCTTCCTCAAAGCCTGTTCTACAGCACTCTGAGCGTTCTAAAATCATTGACTAGATGTTTTCACAGCCTTGCATTCATGTGAAATGAAGGGAAGGATGGAGGTATTATCTTCATTTTACATTTGTAAGTGCTTTTAGATAGTCAGCACATCTGCAAGTCTTACACAAACCCCTTAAATCAGTGATTTGAAAAATAAGCATACCAGTGACAGTGCCTGAAAAGCATACCTTAAGTGCCTTAAGATACACTCAGCTTTGCAGAGGTTTACTATATACCATTGAGTTAACTACAGCGAGCATTTCTTCTCTTCTTTCACCCCTCACTATGTACCTTCTGACCCCTGCAACAAAGGCAGGGATGCTGTTCTGAATGTAGCATTACTACAGGAGGACTGTATGAGACTAGGCTATCTTGAAGCATTCATGCCTGACAGAATCAGCATAGACTGTCCACATACTGAAAAATACAATTCTGGCTATTTTTGAGTTTATAGTTAGCATATTTGGTAAAAATGTGAAATTTTTGTAACAGACCCCTTCCCCTCAAACTACCCAGAAGACTATATTTTGATACCCATACACACACCTGCAAGGCTGGAAACTTTAGATTCAATGCTCTTATCTCTGACACTTGAGTTAGAGCAAAAGCACCTGCAAAAGTTGTCTGATATCCCTGTCTGGACCAGGACTACAAGAGTATTAAACTCTGAAAGAATGTTGCAGATACTTCTGACAGCTAATGAATGATAAGACACCAAGAGTGCGAGGATTCACACAACCCTAGAATATCTATCATGATAAAGCCAATCTTCTCTGCTTCACCCCTTTCAAGCCATACTCTACCCATTTATTTCCTCATGCCAGTTCCAATCCTTGTCTTTCCACTCACAGATCCTACTGTTCCTTCCTGTCCAGTTCCATGTTCAGACTTTTTCTAACCCCCTGCTTTTGAGAGCCTTACCTGGGGTTTACGTCATAGCTTGCTTTTTATTTACCAGCATCCTCCACAGTAACACTCTGTCCCAAGCTGCATTAGAGCTAATATTACACCTGAGCTTTTATAGTGTTGATGGGTTTTCTCTAGATATACATATATTGCAGTTCTAGGTTACCAGGAGGTTACTAAATTAACAGATTGTATGCTTTACAAAAAGGCTGATCATTTTTCAAATATATTTCTGCATGTCCCCACTTCTGTGCTAGTGAGAAAAAATTGTCATCAGTCTTTCGAGGGCACTTTGCTAACTGATGACCTGTTCATTGTTAAGAGAGTGGGGTTTTTTTGGGTGGGAGAGGGGAGGGGTTGGGTACAAGTGTATGCCAACCAACATTTATTTATGAGAACGGGGAGGAATACTATTATGCTCTGCCGTTCTTGGTAGCTCTTGATCATTCCCCGTGCTCCACACCATACCATGCCAGAGACCAAAGGAAGTAGGGAGAAACTATTCCATTCCTTCCTGATGGGTGACATGTTTCATATAAATCCATATCACTGCCCAGTCAGTCAAAGCACTGAAGGCAAAAACAAGTCAGTAACAACAGGATGCTAGCCTTTTTCTGTTCAAAGGAACAGATTGCTCTGCAGATAGCTGCCAGATAGAAAAAAAGTTAAAAAGTAATCAAAACATTCCAGCCACTGTGTACTAGACAGAAGAGAAACTTGTCTGTTGCTTGTCCTCCATCTCACCCAGCTTTTGCTAAACCTTTTATTTCTGACTGTAGAGAAAACCTGTGATGATGACTGATGAATTCTAAACTGAGAAACTTTATTGGAAAAGCAAGACAATTTTAAACATTTGCTTTCTTGACCGTTTTTGCATAAAATTCTGTAAAGCTTGAAATAGTTACAGAAAATCACAGCTAAAGAAATTTTTTATAATGGCAAATGAAAATAGTCTTTACTACTTTCACACTAGTTTTCCACATTGTGGCAATGCGGAATAATTTGATTTATCACTAGCCAAAATCATTAACCCCATCAGACACGAGATTCCACCACAGTTCAAATGCCTTGAGACCTTTTTTCCTCTACCATCCATAAAGATATAACAACTCATATTTTGGAACTCAATTACTTAACTTGTATAAACTTCAACAACTTAAATTCATTATTAATAGAATCATAGAATGCCAGGTTGGAAGGGATTCATGGCCAAAAGTGCTGCAATACTACAAGGAAAAATGTAATGTATAAAAAATCCAGCAGTACCCTAGCAAGTCATAGGATTAGGGAATATGATAAAACAGGAAACCCAAAACTGACAATGCTTCCAGAACCTGCTGTACTCTAATATCAATAGAAACTTTTCTGTTTGGAAATGCAGTAAATACCAAGGCATCAGCATCACTGGGGTGGCACCCATATACTTTGTCCATTGTCTAATACTAGAATTACAATTCTAAGTAATCCCTGTACTTAATGAATTTTTTTTTAGTCATATATTCTATACTTTAGAACACCAGCAGGGCCACAACATACATCTCTGACATCACTAAAGAGTCGCTTAGAAAACCAAGGATTAATACAAATCCAAAATAAGTCATCTGTGTGGGACTTACCATAAAATAACTGCCCAGCAGTCATGCTGGCATTTGGTATGGCTTGTTTTTTGCAGGCAGTTCCAACCCTCAAAACTTAACAGCTGCTCTGTTCAACTTTTTCATCAGTTAGTCTAGATTGATAAAAGTGTATTGTTTTCAATACTAAACAAAGAGTTGTGTTTACAGTTATGAACCAACCTGAGTGCTGGTAAGAAAGGGAATCCTCTGTAGAACTTTCTTTGGGCCGTTTGTTTTTCATGAATTCCTGCTTGGACTGGAGCAATCTGAGTGATTCATTGTAATGGTGCCTGCATTTAAAATAAAGGCTTCTGTGTGAGGTAATCCTCTCAGAGATGCACAAAGCGATTACCTGGCACTTTCAGATTCAAGAACACAGTCTGCTTTTATGCACTTGGATTTGAATACAATTCATTAAGAATTTAGCATATTCATTCTACCATGAGATTAGTATCAACGTAGTTAACATTGTGCAGATTTCACAATCAATGTAATGGCATTCTGGTTTTCAATTCCTTTTTGAAATTCTACCATTACAGCAATTTTGGTAGCAGCACTACATTTAAAACATTGTGCAGGTTTTTCTTGAAGCAGGATTAAATCAGATTTCAATCACTACATTTATTTTCTTGATTAAAGACAACATCTCTATAACATGGGCTCAGTTTACAGGAGTAGACATTGTTCTCTCTCTCATCCTCTTCTCCACAAAAGCATGTTCCCTGAGTTTTCATCTTTAATTAAAAGTATCACAATCTTAAGAAACTCAAAATATGCAATTCTTGTAAGATTTCTGACATCTGCTATACCCTTTTGTCAGTTTTTCCAGATTTCTATTGCTTTATTCTTTTACTCCTCCTGATCACCTTTGCCCTGATGCAATAGTGGTACTATTACCTCATAGCAGTGGCACATGAGGTGAAATGCCAATCTCAAATCCAAACACCTAAAACTCCCTTCCTTCCCAATCAGCTTGGCCTTGCCTGTTCAGAATAGTCCCTGACTTGCACTACCCTGAGCCATGCTCAGGCATCGCTCTCACTGGCACAAGCCAAAACTGTTTGAAGAAACAAGATCACGGTTAAACAGGGCAGGTAGACACAGACCTGAGCCAGTGTCCCATTTCTGCTCCATCCATATATAGTCAAGGTGACCATCAGGTCTAATATAACTGTATCAAAGCAGAGATTATGAGTACAAGGTACAGTCTGAATTCAGTACATGTACAAAGCCATGGATAAACCTCTCAGTCTCCGGCTAAGGAATGCCTTTACAGTTTGGTGATTTAAATGTACACTCTTCAAATCATACAAATACTTTTAGCCGCAGGAATAAGTTGCACAGATGTCAGGAACATACACCTAGACAGGCTACACAACTCCTTCCAGTCATTTTTGATGCTCAGGCATAGGCTAAATAAACTGTATAGACACAGGGTAGTAGAGACTAGGCAGCAGTAGCTTGGTCTGTGCCTTCCTACATTTCTATTTTCAGTCCTGCCTTGTTGTAAATAGGCTGAAACTACGTATAGTCCAGTGCCCTAACTTTGTATCATGGACTGACATTCTTCAGCCATGATTCAAAAATAAGAGCTTTTGGCAAATAGTTCACTGCAGGACTAGTGTTACCAGCACTGCAAAACCTTAACTGCCAAAAGGTCTGTTCAGCTTCAAGTGCTGGGGCAGAGAAAGCTATGCTATTTTAAAGATACACTAAAAAGGACAAACCAATCTGTCAGTTTATCACACGTTTTCCAAACTGTGTATGAAGTTTCTAATAGCTACATAATTAGAAGACAAGCATGATTAAATGAAAGTTGGTTAAGACAGATATTTGCCAATTCTAAATTAATTCATCATATATCTGCAAAATGATCAAACCTATTTTACAACAGTAGTTCTTTGGTTACTGAAAATACTGTTATCCTGTCCAGGAAGTATATTCAGGAAGAACAGCTATGTTGGAAATAGCTCTATCATGTTTCCCCCTCCTCTCTAAAAAAGCCTTGAGATAGTCTCCAAAATTTCCACACACTATAAAAAGGCAACTAATAGCATCACCACAAGTGGGATAAGAGCTGTGCTGCTTAAAATTCTTTTATATCATAACTATTTGGGAGCCTCTGCAAAATCCACAGATTTTGATTAAATATGACATTTTCATTGCACTCAAGTAAAAAAAGTACTGCAGGAAAAGGCTGTTCGTGTGTTTCAGGAGACAATATTCTACTATAGTTAAGTGTACAATTCAAAATTGGTAAGAGGAGACATTGAGGTACTATAATATTTCTTGCCTTTGCATTGAAACAGCAAAACCCTTCTATTGGTACTAAGGTTTCTTACCCAAGGGAGCTTTTAGGGAAGGCATCAATTGGTTCTTGATTCTTTGACTAGGAAAGAATTTATAGATTAACCTTCAACACTTGTGAAGAAGCACAAATCCACAATAAACCATTGCCTATTTATAATTTGGTAAGGATCCAACAACCCCTTAAAAAAATATTCACATGTGACAGTTAAAATACAGTATAAAGCCAAAATACTTACATGTGCTATTTCATCAGGGTGTTGCTTCCCCATCCATGGACAGGGTTCAGCATTAGATTATGACACCAGTTCAGCTCATTAATAGAGGTCATCATTCAGGAAAAAATTATTTAAGCCCATTTCTGTCCTTAACAGGCATCTCATTTAACATGTTGTAAATTGCTTTATAAAACTAGACGGTCACTTTCTAGGCAGACAGGAAGTTTGTTTTTTCCTACCACATTGATACTTCTCCTGAGCAGAAAATTACACATACAGGTTTTATTTACTGTACTTCTTATCCTAAAGGACTCTGCAGTGGATTTACAATTTACAAACCAAATCTTGCAAATAGTGCTCACTTCAGCTGTAGCTGTGCAAGATGAAAGCCTTTTTAAGTAGAATTACCTGATCTGTAAGATTTGTGGCTGCTTCTCTGGAGGAAAATAGTTTTATCAAACTGAAGTTTAGGAGAAAAATTCCATACCAAATCAATACAGCAGGACAGACTCTTTGGAGATGTCTCACACTAGAGTATCAAAGTGTGATCAGAAAAATGAACAGGTAAGTTTCCTGCAAAGACAGGGTAGCATTGCCTAGTCTTCTTCCTGCTCCAATCCTATTCTGCTGGCTGGAGGAAAAGAGCAAAAGAAGCAGCTGGATATCTACATTTATTCAGCAAAGCAAATAAGAGCAGAACTAAAAAGCTCCACTAGTTATTTTTAAGTATGTAGGGTAGTATTCTTACATATGCTTTTGTAAAGTAACATGTCTGTTTAATAATCACTTTCACATCAAGCCATAAGGGCTTTCTGGACATTTGTTGTGAAGGAGATTTCAGAGCCTAAAGCTGTACAAACAACTGTTTTCAGTGAGAACCTAACCTAGAAAATGTGGATAGAAATACAAAATTATTGACAGTTCTTACAGCATACTTGTTTTCTTGAAAGACATCCATGAAGTCTTTCACTTCAACAGTATCTGCTGACTTCTGTGGCATCTACATTTCCAAGTGGCTAGCACATGCAGTTTGTGTTGTTGTGTCTTGCCCCATAATGCATTTATTGCCAAAACCAAACATAAGGTAAACGGTCATGTTTCAAGGTCCTTACATCAAGTTAACATGGGTTTTGGTTTTTCCTTCCAGCATAAAACCCCAGCAAACTCAGTAATTTTGAAGAGCACATGGGCAGTTACGGGCCTAGGTTTAACTTGCCTTTCCAGTTCGTGTGAGTAGGTAGACCTGCAGGAATAATAATGCCAATGAAGCTGATCTGGAATAAGGATGCTCCTGAAGAATAGAGGTTTTTTGTAAAGCCTTTCCTCCTGATTAAGACCTCTATATAACCTGCTTAGATAATGAAAAACAGAGATAATATTACAGCCCAGACCTCTGCTGCAGAACTCCTTTGGTATCTGCAATTTCACAAGACCCTTTCTTGGCAGAGGCTTTGTACGTTCATCTAACTACTTCAGTGGCAGAAGTGCAGTACTGCAGGGTATTGCATTGGTCTGGGGAAAGCCCACCTGCTTTGCAATAAGAAAGGAAAGATTCCAGATGGGGAATATTGACTAAGCAGCCTGTCCGAAGGAAAGTGATGTGAATTCTCATTGCTCACAGATCCAACCCTTCATCTCATAGCAGATGATGCCATTAACAGACATCTTCTGCTTTGCCTGGGTGTTTTACATGATCCGAGTTTTGTGCATTGATCTGGTAGTCTGACAGACTTTTGGCAATCAGTAACTTGATAAAGAATGGGAAAAAAAAAATCTAATCACCTTAAAACTTTGACTGTTGCTGTCCATGTCTCCTGCTCACTCTCCCACGGATCAACTTGAATCCAGTCAGATGTCTCCAGTGCTAGTTTAGCCATTGCTATCCGGTGCCTTGCTGAAACCAAGCCTTTCTTTCCGTAGTCATCATTAACAGGAGACATTATGCCTTTAATCACCTGATACCTTCCTTTTGGGAAAATCAAAGAAAGAAAAAGAAAAAGAGGTAATCTTCAGGGAATCTTGAAAATGTAAAGTAATAGAATTGTAGAATGGTTAAGGTTGGAAGGAACCTTAAAAGCTGGAAGGAACCTTAAAGATCATCAGGATCCAACCTCCCTGCTATGAGCAGGGACACCTCCCACTAGACCAGGCTGAACAAGCCTCATCCAATCTGGCCTGACCTCCAGGGAGGGGGCTTCCACAACTTCCCTAGGCAACCTATTCCAATGTCTTACTACTCTCATGGTGAAGAATTTTCTTCCTGATATCTAACCTAGATCTACCCCCCTCTTTCAGTTTAAAACCATTACCCCTTGTCCTAACTCCACCCTCTTTGACAAAAAGCCCTTCCCCAGCTTTCCTGTAGCCTCTTCATGTACTGGAAGGTGCTATAACGCCTCCCCAGAGCCTTCTCTTTCCAGGCTTAACAGCACCAACTCTCTCAGCCTGTCTTAATAGCAGAGGTGCTCCAGTCCGTGGATTATCTTCATTGTCCTTCTCGGGACCCTCTTCAACAGCTCTTTGCCTTTCCTGTCCTGAGGGCTCCAGAGCTGTATGCAGCACAGCAGGGTGGATGGGACCTTGGGAGCTCATCTAGTCCAAACTCAAAGCATAGATAATTTCAAAATTATAAGAGGTTATGAACAACCTGACCTAGATATTATTTTTGATACAGAAACAGCAATTAAAAAAATTAAAAAGCAGCCTTCTTGGTCCTCTGTGAACTGCTCACAATTACTATCAGTGTTTATCCATTATTCAAAAAGGAAAACTGGATGAACATACAACTTTCATCACGTACAGACATTTTTAATTTATGATGCAAACTATCAAAATGACTAGATATAATTAAGTTTTATATTCCAGTAAGTGTAGCTCATACACAGCTAGAACAGATGCCTGACAAATTCTGTTTTTAAGCAGCTGATGTTTGTTGTTTATCCAAATCATTGTGCCTTTTCATTGTGTTAAGGCAAGATTGACAGCTCATTACTGCAGCTGTGATTAACGTGATTCAGACAGCTCAGAAGATTTCAGAACAAAGAAGGGGCTAATGGAGTCTAGAATAAGACTTACAACACTATGGTCTAAACATCAGCTTGGCAGCCATTAAAGACCCTTTCTATCTGGCTGATCATCTTAATTAAATTTGAAAACAAGCCCATATTTTTCTTCTACTTTAGCATAACGTAATCATTAACACAAGCTCTTTTTGTTACATGTTGCAGTTCTGGTCACAAATCAGAAAACAAAAATGTACCTCTTATTTAAATGAATCAGCAGGGAGATAAAGCACTGATATGAGCTGCATCCCTCAAGAAAGAGAGAGAAAGGGTGTTTTAAATAAATAGAAATGAAACAATTTTTTTTCAAATGTAACACATGCATTTTAAATAACTATGGTGAATATGACACTGACAGGGGAAAACCTCTTCCTTTTTTTTTCTAATTCAATTGTTTCAACAAAGAAACAAAATTCAGCAAGTTCCTTCTCTTGCTTTGTAATGAAAATGATACTCACTCACAATTTCTGATACTGCCATATGCTAATTCAATATTCTAAAATTATAATTAATAACTTCACAATTATTTTGATGTAACACAGTAACATTTAAAAAATAAATTAAGGAAGTTGGACTTAAAAAAAAGCATTAAAATTCAATGAGATTTACAGGCCTGTTTCCTGTTAAAATGTCAGTCCAAACTATCCTCTGTTATAAAGCATTCCCTATTGACCATTTTGCCTACAATGAGAAAGATAACATTTTTTAGAAACATGCAAAAATGTGTATATAATTAAGTCCATCACTTGATCTGAAATAGGAAATATTTTTACTTGATGTATGACCAATTATTGTCTTATACTTTGATAATGTACCATGTTATGACAAATTTTCATTTAAAGGGAAAGAAATTACAGTTTGAATTATTTGATATTTTACTCAAATTAGAAGCTTTTTCTTACACAGCAACTTTCTTTTCCACATTTCAATTCCTTTCTTTTTGTTATCTACTGATATAAATTGTTGACTTACATTTTAACAGAATATACTAAATGTAAAAACTAAAATTGTGTGAGATTATGCCAGCCAAGAACAAAGTAACTGCTGCATCCTTGTGAGCTGTAAAGATTTCAGTCTCTAGCCTGTCCTAGAACTCCACAAATAGGATGAGATAAGAGCTTCTGATGCCATATCAGCTTGTTCCAAAGGAGAAATGAAAATAAATGAAACAGAAAAAATAAGCTTACTAATGTTTAAGGTACCCAAAGTCAAACACAAAACTCTAGAATTTCCACTGCACTTCTCTATCCCACAAATATTACACATAGTTAAAAACCTTTCTTGGTCCAGAATTATCTTCAAATTCTACTTCTTTGGAATGCAATTTATTTTTATTATGAAGTACATTATTAGTGCTTGTCTTAAGTATGTGTAAAAATCCTCCAGGCCCTTAATTGCCTGTGTTTTTCAAAATGCACCTATAGGAAGCAGTGAAAAATTTCCTCTTGCTATGAACTTACATTCTCTAAGAACTACTTAGAATAACTGGTTAAAAAACCTAAACATAAGAAAACAAAAAATGTCCCTCTAACATGTCAAAGTAGTATTACACATGAAAACAGGTACTTAGTATTCTGTTATAAAGGTTACTGTAAATTGTTACAAACACTAACACAAATTGCAATGCTCAATAAGTTTATTTATGGTAAATAAAAATTGTCAAGTGACAATTTAATATAAAATTGTGTGTGTTTTGGTGGGGTTTTTAAAGATATAATTTCATCTAGTAGCAAGTCTGTGATTTACAATTAGAAAGTATAAGAAGTAAACAGCCACTATAAAAAATTAAACCAAATAAATACTTCCATACATTTAACTCTCACCCACTACTCATTTTCCTCTCAGTGTCACAGGAAAATCTGCAACAGAATGGAAAACTCTGCAGCTTTATGGTGTTAAGCTTTATGGTCTTTCTTGACCATAAATGAATGACCCTATTGCTGTTCTTCCTTCTGCCATCTCCAGAGCAGGCTGCAAGGGACTTTGTGCCTGAGTGCTGATTGATCCTTTTCCGAGGTGCTGTCAAATAAACAAAATTTTCCATTAATTTTACTCCCTGCTGAA